TGATGTCAGATGGATCTTGGCTGAAAGCAGAGAATACCAAAATGATGTTTACCCGTTGTTTTATTGATTATGCAAACACATTCAACTGTGTGGATCATAACAAATTACGAATAACATTGCAAAGAATAGGAATTCCAGAACACTTAATTTTGCTCATGTGGAACCTGTACATAGACCAAGAGGCAGTAGTTCAAACACAACAAGGGGATACTACATGGTTTAAAATCAGGAAAGATGTGTGTCAGGGTTGTATCCTTTCACTATACTTATTCAATCTGTATGCTGAGCAAATAATCAGAGAAGCTGGACTATATAAAGAAGAACAAGGCATCAAGACTGGAGGAAGACGCATTAACAACTTGCAATATACAGATGACACCACCTTGCTTGCTAAAAGCAAAGAGGACTTGAAGTGCTTACTTAGGAGGATCAAAGAGTACAGCCTTCAGTATGGATTATACCTCAACATAAAGAAAACAAAAATCCTCACAACCGGACCAATAAGCAACATCATGATAAACAGAGAAGATTGAATTTGTCAAGGATTTCGTTTTACTTGGTTCCACAATCAACGCATTGGGCAAATCTTCTGCAAAAGACCTCTTTAAAGTGTTAAAAAGCAAAGATGTCACCTTGAGGACTAAGTTGTGCTTGACCCAAGCCAGGGTATTTTCAATCGCCACATATGATGCGAGACTGGACAATGAATATGGAAGACTGAAGAAGAGAAATACCTTTGAATTATGGTGTTAGCAAAGAATTTTGAATACACCATGGACTGTAGGTAGAATGAACAAATCTGTCTTGGAAGAAATATAGCCAGAGTGCTCCTTAGAATCGAGGATGGTGATACTTCATCTCAAGTACTTCGGACGTATTATCAGGAGGGACCAGTCCCTGGAGGAGGACATCATGCTTGGTAAAGCAGAGGGTCAGTGAAAAAGAGGAAGACCCTTACTGTGATGGACTGGCATAGTGGCTACAACGGTGAGCTCAAACATAGCAATGATTGCAAGGATGGCTTAGGACCAGGCAGTGTTTTGTTCTATTGTACATAAGGTCACTATGAGTCAGAACTGACTTGATGGCACCTAGCAACAGCAATGTTTTTGTGAATTGCCTATTTATGTCTTTTTCCATTTTTCTCTCAATATTTTGATCTTTTTTTTCCTTTCAATTATAGAGTAATTTTATATTGGGACTCTTGCTCTTTATAATATGTAACCGCAAATATTTTCTCCTTGTTTGTCATGTGCCTTTTGTTTTTGCTTGTCATGTTTTGAGCCACGTAAATGTGTTTGTTTTTAATGTAACTAAAATTTATCAGTCTTTTCTTTTAATGCCTCTGGATAGTTACAAAGCCTTTCCTACACTCAGTTTATGCAGGAATTCAGCCTTATTATTTTTTTCGAACACTTGTGTAATTTTAGATTCTTCTAATCCATTTACAGTTTATTTTTGTGATCAATGTGAGCTAGAAATATAATTTTTGTATTTTTCAAATGCCTATTCAATTATTCCAGCACCTTCTGTTAAAAAGTCCCTCCTTGTCCTAGTCGCTCGAAATGCCACATTTATCACATACTAAATTTCCATATTTACTTGGGTCTATTTCTGGACTTTCTATTCCATTTGCTGGTTTACTTGTGTATTCATGTACCAGTTCTTTAATCATTTAATTACACAGGCTTTTAGTATGTATTAATATCTAATAGGGCTAATGCCCCCACTTAGCTTTGCTTTTCCAGTTTTTTCCTAGTTATTCTCGAATGCTTACTTTTCCACATGAACTATAATATCAGCAGCGTCTAGCTGCATAAAAGTTGTGTTGATATTTTCACTGAGATTATATTTATAAATTTACCTGAGGAGAATGGACATCTGTCTTTCTAATGTTCAACTGTCCTATCCAAGAACAAGGGCATCTCCTTCCATTTGTTCAAGTCTATTCTTGTGTATTTTGATAGTGTTTTAAATATTTCCTTATAAAGTTCTGCAAAGTTATTCTTAAGTTTTTCCTTCAATATTTTATCCTTTTTGTTGCCATCGTAAATGTGTATTATCGTAGTTATCTAGTGCTGCTATAACAAATATCACAAGTAGATGGCTTTAACAAAGAGAAGTTTATTTTCTCACAGTCTAGGAGGCTAGAAGTCTGAATTCAGGTGCCAGCTCCAGGGGAAGGTATTCTCTCTTTATCAGCTCTGGGGGAAGGTCCTTGTCATCAATCTTCCCCTGGTCCAGAAGCCTCTCCTGGTTCTTCATTCTTTGTGACATGAGGTCCCCCAATCTCTCTGTTCACTTCTCTCTTTTATATTTCAAAAGAGACTCAAGACACAACCTAATCTTGTAGATTGAGTCCCACCTCATTAACATAACTGCCTCTAACCCTGCCTCATTAACATCATAGAGGTAGGATTTACAACACATAGGAAAATCATATCAGATGACAAAATGGTGAACGATTACACAATACTGAGAATCATAGCCTAGCCAAGTTGACACATATTTTGGGGGGGACACAATTCAATCCATAACATGTATGAAAGCTATTGATTTCTATATGTTAATTTATATCCTACCGAATTTATCAGCTGCAAATCATCTGCAAATGGAGGTGGTTTTACTTATTTTCCACTTCTTATAGGATTCTCTTGTCTAAATGCATAGGATGATACCTCCAAGACAATATTAAATTGTATGGAAAGTACACACATGTATATACACACATATACATATATATGTAAGTAATACATGTAAGAAGAGTTCCTGGGTGGTACAAATGGTTAAACTCTGGATTACTAACCAAAAGATTGGTGGTTCAAACCCACCCAGAGATGCCTTGGAAGTAAGGCCTAGCAATCTGCTTCTGAAAGGTCACAACTTTGAAAACCTTATGGAGCAGCTCTACTCTGCACACATGGTGTTGCCATGAAGAATCGACTTGTTGGCAGCTAACAACAATGACAGTATATGTATTACATATTTTTAAGCATGTTAAAAAAGTATCCTTCATTTTCTGCTTTCTCCATTGTTTTAATCAGGAATGGGTGCCGAATAGTGTCAAAAGCTTTTCAGCATATGTTGATACAGTCATATGATTTTTCTTTCTAGATCGATCAATATGATGTCTTATAATAATGGAGTTCTCATAATGAACAATTTTTGAGCAGGATTGCAACCCAGAACACATGTCACTTGGTTATGGAGTATTATTTTCTTACTGTGTACCTCTACTGTTAATTGTATAAATACCAAGGCTCTACGGAAGTGTGATTCAAAGAGTGATATCATCTAGGGTGTTTATTGATCTACAGATTTGTGTTGAAGCAGACTCTCTGAGGAGGGCTGCAGGAATTTGCTTTTAACAAGTCCCCACAGGTGGTCTTTATGCACACTGAAAACCGCTTGTCTCCTATATTGTCCAATGTGAAGTTTTTAAAAATGGAAAATTACTGCAAAAAAAAATTATTTACTTTAGCAAAGGATTTGCTGATTCCAATTAAAAGGTGTTTTGTGTCTTAAAATTTTAGATTCTAGATCATGACCAGCAGCAGGAAAATAGATGATACAGAGAAACCAAAAAGTAAAACATTAGCAGCCAACTGAATATTCATTCATTCATTCACTCACTCATTTATTCATCTTTAACACTGTGCAAGGACTGAGGATACAAAATACGTAAGACCCAATTCCTGTATAACAGTAGGAGAAATGGAGCGTTAGAAAAATATGTATAAAACGATATATTAGGCATTATATTAGAAATATTTTCTGAGAATTGGGTGGGCGTTGGGGGCTTAAAAGAAGAAATGCTCCTCTCTCCTGGATCAGAGAAGACTTTAAAGAGGAGGTGTTGCCTTAGATGAAGAATCTTTACAATATGTTAACAGATGGGGAAAGAAATTGATTTGCAAAATCCTGTTTACATGGAACTTTGTGGGAACACATCTCTTACACCTACAGTTCAACTTTTGGCAAACACAGTTACAAGCTCTCTCATACATATAGGGAAGGTAATCTGTTAGTGGAGGAATCTCCGTGTATAACCTGTCAAAGAATTTCTTTCTCAGACGTGCAAACTTAATAGAAACACTGGATGACATCAACAGTAATAGAAAACATTAGTAATAAATGGAAACTTCAATAAATGGAACTATTAGTATGTTTCATGTTCTCTAAAAGGGAGAAAAAGATTTATATTCTCTTTCTATTAGAATGTGAAATGGTTTATTTCCACTCCATTTATTCTTAGTATCAGACATTGCTTATCTGGGACAGCCACTTCGTGGGAGAGGGAACATAAAATCCTGTAACTCACTCTCATGCCGGGGTAATGATTATTGGTTGCTTGGTACAGAAAGTGTCTCTACTATCACATGATGAGGTTTCAAAGTACAAACCTAGTACCACTTCATCTGAAGAAAATTCACGAAAGTAAAAAGTAGCGAGGATTCTTTCATTCCCTTATTTTGATGACCTTGGAGGAGGAGGACTTTTAAATTTCCAACATTTTTATTTACTCAAAGTCTATCAATTTTAAATGCTCTTTTGGCGTGAATATGTCTGCATCAGGTGGTCTTGGGACACATCTTGCACTGAATTTAAATGGCAGCAGGTATCAACTAAGATAAATGGAAATGTTACCCTGAAATCTTGGATTACCTACTGTGGCTTAGCTGTAATCATCACTCTTCAGTAATTACCTGCCAAATCACTAAAATGTTTATGTTTGAATTTATTTAATGGATTAAGATTTTAATGATTCAATGATTAGAAAATATGTATATTCATCCAGATTAACAATATGAAACTCTTTAGACAGCAAAAATAGATCCAGGGAGAATTCTGAAATTAAAAAAAAACTATACATATTATAGATAAACTATTCTCAAGAATCTATTGAAGTAGCATATTTGTTTTGCAGAACAGTGAAACTTAATATGCTTTGATTCAGCTTGATCATATTCATTTGAGCAACCTTTTGTTTTAATTTACAGTTGGCAATCAGTGGATAAATTACATTTCATTCTGTGGCCTTAGAACACATGCAGAGCTTGAAGGAAACCTAGTCACTGAGCTTATCTATGTCCACAGCAAGTTGCTAATTGCTGATGACAACACTGTTATTATTGGTAAGTAGATGGCCTAAAAATTTACCCTATGGAAAAGTCTTTCTTATGATTCTTACCAGGCTTCCTTAGCAGTTGAAAGGGGCAGTAACACAGTATCTAAAACATTTCTGAAACAATCATTTTCTCTTACATCCTTTATGACCCCTGTTTTTATTTAGGAAGAAACTGAGGCACAGAGCAATTGAATGGCCTTTGTGCAAATTACAATATCCAGAGACAGTAGTTTAACCCAGCAGTCCAATAATCTGCCTGCTTCCCTTATTGTTCCCTTATTTTTATTTTGAATCCAAGTATCTAGATTTTGGGGATTACAGAAGCAAAAAGTGCATCATAAATGAATACCTGGTGGTATTCTGGTGAACGTCTGTGGTAACCATTACTACAGATCAGAAAGTATGCAAGAGTCAAAATCGGAAGGATATTAAAACATCACAGCCTCTATGATTACCAATTTTTTTTCCTAGCGTTTATGTTTCGAGTGTTATAATCAGGGTGTAAGCAGGCCAGCTTTGTTGATGTGTGTATGGGTCAGGTAGGAATTGTGTATTAATGATATGTAATCCTGAAGTCTGCAATCTTTTCTTGTCAAGGATACCCCGTAGATTTCTCCAGGGTCCTATCTCCACTGACAGATTTGAGAGAGTTATTTGTGCGTTCTACCCAGATAAGATCAACTTGACAAGGGGGAGCTGAAGTTTAGCTTCCTTCTTTCATACACATATAGAAAGCTTCATTTTCTCATCATTGAATTGTTTTGCTTTCCAGTACCATGTTAGGCTAACACCAAAAGTCCAGGATGAGAAATAGAGGAATAATAACTAGCCGAATAAATGAATGAGTTGGTAGAGGGACAGGGTGCTTAGAGACGTGATATGAATTGGGAATTCTGCTCATCTGTTTTAAATAAAATGTAGTCTCTCGGTTATAATAAGGTACTTCCCTATTCTTTAAGAAACTAAATATCCTGGAGTGTTTTGAAAGTTTTTTGACACTAAATATGCCTTTTCTGTCTCTATTCTCCACTGGGGAAAAAAATAATAATAATTCATATTTAAGAGTAATGATACTGTCTTATCTGCAACATGATTTGAAAAGAAAGGAGCAGTTCTGAAACTTGTGCCAAAATTTTATAGACCACAGTGGTGAGATACATTCTCTAAGTACTTGCACCGGGCAATTAAGAAAATATCTGGTGTTGTCGATCTCTTGCTCTATAGGGATTGAAGCTCTTAGGGGGTTTACACACTCCTCCAAAAAAAAAACAAACAAGGTCTCTCTTATTTCCCTCAAGTTACTCTACCTTGCTCTTCAGAAGCCAAACTACAGAATATTTTTATATTAATTTTGACCATGACAATAGGAATGGAAAGATATTGATGTTTGCTGAAACAGAAAAACAAACAAAGCCAAGTAAAATTCAGTTGATCTCTTAAGGTTTCAGAACTCCTGAAGTAAAAATTGACAGATGTAAATATTTTCCTTTTAAAGGTCATTTTTCTTTCAGCCTGCTTTACTTTACATGAAGTGTAAATGCAAAGTAGTTTTTGGTAACAGAGCTAACAGTGAAATACGTTCGTTGAGTTTTTTAATTGAATTGTTTTCTAGAAAGGTCTGTGAACCCCCACAGGCTACATTTTATTTGAGCTAGCAGTGATTGATCAATTTTGCACACAATTCTTATTCTGTCTGATGAAAATGAAGATGTGGCCTTGGGAGTGTTAAGAGGTCAAATTTGTCAGTCCTGAGAGGCTGAATTTCTTTTTCTCCTTCTCAAGGGCAGTGTTATTTAAAGAACAGATTTCCCCCACAGAAAAATCCAAATATGCTTTTGTTCTTTTTATCTCAGTGGAAACTCTTTGAGTAAGTGGATTTGTTGTTGCTGCTCCAATACATCAGCCCCATTTGAGTTTATAATACAAAGAAAAGTGTTTACAATTTTTAGAGAGGAGTTTGAGATGCTAGACTGAGAATATTTTACAGGTGTTAAGCAAATATTTAAAGGCTTAGTTTAAAGGAGGTTAAAGTAACCTGTGATTAATTTTCTAACATGACAGACTTATGCCAGAATAATTGAATAATTGACATAAGAAAAATCGAGTTACCATTTAGCTTCACTTTTTTCCTCACGAGGAAGTATTTGTTTTCTCACAATGAAGGTATAGCTTTAATTATCCATTGCCCTGGGTGGCCCTGCTAGTCATGAAATCTGTGGCCAAATCCAGTTTTTTCTAATCCATCTTAATACTGGCACTTAACCAAACCAACATTTATTTTCTTTACTAAATAAAACAAGGCTATCCTTTAAGTAAGGAGCCCTGATGGCACAATGGTTAAGCACTTAGCTGCTAACCAAAAGGTTGGCAATTGGAACCTACCAGGGGCACCCTGGGAGAAAGGCCTGGCAATCTGCTCCCATAAAGATTAACCCATTACCGTTGAGTCAAGTTGATTCCAACTCATAGAGATCCTACAGAACAGAGTAAAAGTGCACCCTAGAGTTTCCAAGGCTGTAATATTTACGGAAACAGACTGCCACATCTTTCTCCTTTGGAGAGACTGGTAGGTTCAAACCACCAACCTTTCCGTTACTAGCCAAGCACTTTAACTACTGCGTCACCAGGGCTCCTTTCCATAAAGAGTACAGCCTAGAAAACCCTACTGGGAAGTTCTGCTCCGTCACATGGAGTCACTATGAGTCAAAAGCAACTTGATAGTAACTCACAGCAACAAACCCTTTAAGCAGAATTTAAGTCTACCCTGTTGACTAAGAGAAACAATTATTTTAATGTTAACTAATTCACTACAAAGTACAATAGGCAGATATAAAAATGAATAAAACAGTACAGTTGCCCTCAAAAGGGGAGGCTGGTATTCCTTCCACCTCACTGTGAGAAACAGCTGGATGGATATTGAGGACTTGGAGCAAGAATGTCCAGGGGCAATCAGCAAGCGTGTGGGGGAGATGGGGAAGTAGGTACAGTCACTGAATATCAGTATGTAAAAGGGCAGCCTTCAGAGTGATATATGAGGGTGCGAATCTACTCACTGGCAATGGGGTAGTTGAAGGATTGCCATATTAAGGTGGAATTACACTTATTCTAAAAAGATTTCATCCAGTAGGTCTCAATCCTTAACTGCATTAAAATTGCCTGGGAGAGCTTTTAAAGTGTATGTGTGTGTATATATATAAAATTTAGGGGGAAGTTTGCTCAAGTCTGCAATTTACTTTAAAATGAATCAAAAAATAAGATGGGTTCATTGATGAGTAGAGAGGTATTGGGGGGAAATACTAATGTCTGGTTCCTACTTCCAGAAATTCTGATTGAACTGGTTTGGTTTGGTTTGGGGCTCAGGCATTAGGCGTTATTTTTGTTTTGGTATCACAATTTTTAAAAAGCATCCTAAGTGAGTCTACTGTGCAAGCAGGATTGAGAAACTCTGGTCTGGAGGTACAAGAGATACCAGTAGGTAGAAACTACATTGTAGCCTACTTGGGCTCATTGGTAGAATCCGTTTTCCTTTGAAACAAATTAAACAGAGGAGGGAGGGTGTATTAGCTTCCCATGGCTGCTGTAACAAATCACCACAAATTTAGCTTTTAAAAAATTATTTTCTTACAGTTCTGTAGGTTGAAAGTCCAACATGGGCCTCCTGGACTAAAATGAAGGTGTTGGCAGGGCTGCATTTCTTTTTGGAGGCTCTGTAGGAGAATCCAAGTAGCCCTGGTGGCACAGTTGTTAAGTGCTTGGCTGCTAACCAAAAGGCTGGTGGTTCGAACCCCCAGCAGCTCCACAGGAGAAAGATGTGGCAGTCTGCTTCCATAAAGATTACAGCTTAGCAAACCCTATGGGGCAGTTCTACTCTATCCTGTAGGGTTGCTATGAGTCGGAAGCAACTCGACAGCAACAGGTATGGGAGAATCCATTTCCTTACCTTTTCTAGCTTCTGGAGACTGCCCACATTCTTTGGGCTGTAGCCCCCTTCCTCCATCTTCAAAGCCAGCAACATTACATCTCTCTAAAGCTTCCCCAAAGCCTCTCAACCCATTCTTCTGTAATCATATCTGCCTCTGAATCCCTTTCACTTTTAAGAGACCTTGAAATGACGATGGGCCAACCTGGATAATCCAAGATACTCTCCCTGTTTTAAGGTCAACTGATTAGCAACCTTAATTCCATCTGCAACCTTGAATCCCCTTGCCATGTAACCTAACATATTCACAGGTTCTAGGAATTAAGATGTGGACATCTTTGGGGTCCATTATTCTTCCTGTCACAGAAACATTTAACAGTTTCTTAAACAAGACACACAAGCCTCAAAGGAAAAGATTGAGAAACGCAACTGCATTAAGGTTCAGAGTTTTATTCATTAAAAGGCACCATAAAGAAAATAAAAAGATAAAACAAACTGAAAGAAGGTATTTGCAACATACGTAATATCCAGAATTCATAAAGCATCCCTATAAATCAGTAAGAAAAGAAAGCATCCAAAGAAAAATGGGCAAAGGACTTGTGTAGGAATTTCACCAGAGGACATACCCACAGCCCGTAAACATCTTATGTTTCTTAATTCTTAATAGATGTTCCTTCTCATTGCATATAATAATGAGACAATTGTTTTTAGAAATACCAGACTGGCAAAAATTTAAAAGTTGGGCAATCCTATCTATTGCTAGGAGCCCTGGTGGCTCAATGGTTAAGCACTTGGCTGCTAACCAAAAGGTCAGCAATTTGAACCCACCAGCTACTGTGAAGGAGAAAAGACCTGGAGATCTGCTCCCATAATGATTGCAGCCTAGGAAACCCTATGGGACAGTTCTACTCTGTCATATAGGATTGCTGTGAGTCAGAATCAACTCGGTGACACACAATAATTACATCTATTGCTAGTGGGAGTACAAGTTGGTATAACCACTTTGGAAAGCAGTATGGCATTACCTAATAAAGTCACACACCCTGTAACCCAGCAATCCGTTCCTCTATGTAGAGGCTAGATAAAACTCTCGCATGTGTATACCAGCAAACGTGTACAACTGTGTAGAGCAGAATTGTGCCTCACAGCAAAACTCTGGAAGCAACCCACACATCCATCAACCGTACAATGAATAAATAAATTCTGATGTGTTCCTTCAAGAAAAATAAATGCATTATAATTACGCACATCAAAGCAGAAAAATCCCAGAGACATAATATCGAATGAAAGAAGCAAATCTCAAAAGGTTAGCTGCTACATGATTTCACTTACATAAATTAAAAAATGAGTCAAAAGTAAATAATTTTTTGTTTAGAAAAGCATGCAGAGCATGATGAATACAAAATTCCATACAAAGGGTCCTTCTTGGGGGTGGTGGTGGATGGGAAGTCACCTGAGGGCTTCTGGGGTGGGTAATGTTCTGTTGTTCAGTTTGGGTGATAAGTACAGGGATGTTCATTTTTCATTTTATTGCTGCTTAAGTCGTACATAAGTGTTTTCACATACTGTTTTGCATTTTGCTTTATTTCACAATTGTTTTAAAGTTCCCTAATAAAAGACTTAGAAAAGGTCATTTTCTAAAAATATTCATTTTTTAAATTATCGATGGAAAGTCCTAATAAAAATAAGGGGTTTCAATTACCATGAAAAGTAATACATAAATATAATACATATTTGCTGTAAACAGTTCAAACTATAGGGAAGTATACAGGGTAAAACTCCCCTTATTGTCCTCACTCTCTTCCTCAGAAGGAACTTATCACTCTTAACAATTCAGTGTGTATCCCTCACTCTCCCCTTTTCCTCCTATGTTACACACAACGAGATAATACTATATCTGCTGTTCTGAACTTGTTCTTCTGAATAGAGGAGCTTTTAGCAATAAGAATGGAGGCGGCATTTACAGTTATCAATATCTCATTTTCAGTATCTCACTTATTAAATTCATCGAAAATTTTCTCATCTCTTTCTTCACATTCCTATGAAGTGATAGCCATCTCACTTATCCCACGTGGTTGAGGGTCATGCCCTCCGTAACTCTAGATCAGCCCTTGAGGCCCAAGAACCACACATTCTCTCACTAAGAATTCCAGCTCACGGTGCCAGGAGTATATTTTTTCCTTTGGGAGTGTGGGGGCTCATGGTGGTGGAGGAAGGCTGGGGGGTCCGTGTCACAGTGTGTTTCTTGTGAAGAGACTTTCCAGTCTGGTTCACATCCCAGTTACCCCGACAGTGAACATAGCAGCAGTGTCTCTCCAGCAGGCAGCTTAAGAGTGGGCTCCACCCAAGCCAAGGGTATCATGAAGCCCAAGAGCAGTACTATGGGAATGCTGTTCCTTGCTTCCTTACAGCTCACACACAGGGAAGGGGGTGAGTAACTCAGAGGGAGGCTTCTTCAATACAAATGCTACATTCCTCCTGTTGCCATGTTCTCTGCTGCAGATATTACATAGTTAACAAGTGTCTGATAAGAATGCCAATAATTATATTTGTGGAGCAGTTTGTGGGTCAGTAAATGCTTTCACATGATTTTACTTAATTCCCACAACAACACTACAAGGTCACACTATTATCTCAATGTATAAAAGATGAAATTAAAGCTGAGAAAGTTCAATGATGCTCAAATAATGCTGGACCAACTCTCAAACCCAAAGACATGACTGCAAATTTATATTCTGTAATCAAAATATCAGTTTATGTATTAAGAGTGATTTGCCACTAACGAAACAAAGTGTCTGAAAGGTTTTTACAGCACACCAGTAGCACTCCCAAATGTCTGCTATGTGCTCAATTCTGTCACACAGGGCCACCATAGGCGCCATTTGCATCCATAATCATCAATGATTTGTATATTAACTGTGACTATATTGCAGCAAATGGCAGTACAGGCAGTCCCCAGGTTATGAATGAGATCCATTTCCAAGTGTGTCTTTAAGTCGAATTTGTAGGTAAGTCGGAACAGGTGCAAATGGTTCTTATTTAGCCTTACTATAGTGCAAGAAAGGGCCCTGGTGGTGCAGTGATTAAGAGCTTGGCTTCTAACCAAAAGGTTGGCAGTTTGAATCCTCCAGCCACTCCTTGGAAACCCTATGGGGCAGTTCTACTCTGTCCTGTAGGATCGCTATAAGGTCACTAAGAGTTGGAATGACTCCATGGCAACGGGTTTTTTTGTTTGTTTTAGTGCAAGAAAAGGCTAGAAGTCTTTTCAATTATTTAAAAGCTACATATGCAGCAAGTGAAAGGGAGCGTTATAAAGAATTTGTTTCGAGTAGGGATTGATTGGTTCAGTCGTTTCAGAGAGAGGGCAAATTTACATAACATTAAAGGCCAAGTATGAGTTGTCCTTAAGTCGGACTGTTGTAACTCAGGGACTGACTATAGTCTTTTTTGGAAGGGGCAGCTTTTCCTAAAGCACAAAACCCTGCCATTTGGGCTCATGGCAGGGCTGCTATTGCCTTTCACCCCTGGCTATCACTGTCACAGAGGGCAGCTGGTGCTCTTGTTCAACCTGATCCTTCTGCTCCGTGTCTTCAGAAGCAGTGGAAGCACAATGGAATATTACACAATGATGAGGAACAATGATGAAGCTGTGAAACATCGTATAACGTGGTGGAAGCTGGAACTTATTATACTGAGTGAATTTAGTCACAGAAGACAAATACTGTATAAGACCACTATTATAAGAACTCAAGAAAAGGTTTAAACACAGAAGAAAACATTCTTTGATGGTTATGGGGGTGGGGAGGGAGGGTGAGGTTTACTGACTAACTAGATAGTAGATAAGAATCATCCTAGGTGAAGGGAAGGACAGCATACACTACAGGGGAAGCCAGCACAACTGGACTAAACCAAAGCTAAGAAGTTTCCTCAATACAATCAAATACTTTGAGAGACAGAGTAGCAGGAATAGGGGGTCTGGGGACCATGCTTTCAGGGGACATCTAGGTCAACTGACATAAGAAAGCTTATTAAGAAAATGTTCTGCATCCTACTTTGGTGAGTGGCGTCTGGGGTCTTAAAAGCTTGCAAGCGGCCATCTAAGATGCAACAATTGGTCCCAACCACTTGGAGTAAAGGAGAACAAAGAACATCAAACACACAAGGAAAGTATTAGCCCAAGAGACAGAATGGGCCACATAAACCGGAGTCTTCATCAGCCTGAGACCAGAAGAACTAGATGGTGCCCGGCTACCACCAATGAACGTCCTGACAGGGAACACAACAGAGGGTCCCTGATGGAGCAGTAGAACGATGGGATGCAGAACTCAAATTCTAGTAAGAAGACCAGACTTAATGGTCTGACTGAGACTGGAGGTGCCCCGGAAGGCATGACCCCTGGACTCTTTATCACCCCAGAATTAAAACAATTTCCAAGGCCAACTCTTCAGACAGGGATTGGACTGGACTGCGGGACCTAAAGTGATACTCATGAAGAATGTGCCTCTTAGTCAAGTAGATACAAGAGACCAAAGGGGCAGCTTCTGTCCAGAGGTGAGAATGGGAAGGCAGAGAGAGTTAGGAGCTGGTTGAATGTTGATGGGGAATCGGGTGGAGGGGAGGAGTGTGCTGTCACAGAATGGGGTGAACGGTTAGGGTCTCATAACAATGTATGTAAAAAAAAAAATCTGTAAGGGAGACTAACTTGAAATGTAAACTTCATTTAATTACAACAATTAAAAGGAAAAAAATTAAAAAAAGAAACAGTGGAAGGTTGAACTAGGGCAAGAGGAACAATAAGAAGAGAGTCAGTCAGATCCCTTCTGTAGTTTGTAGAACACCTCAAGGATTCAGAAGAGTGAATCTGCAGTGATTAATTCAGAAACATCATGGCGGTTTCTGAATACACAGCAGAGTGCTGCAGAAAACACCGGTTGAAATAATTAAAATATGTGCCATATAAATGTCAAAGTCAAAATTCTTAGCTCACTGGATTTAAAAATAGAATGGAGGGAAGTTGATACAGAAGCTGTTGGCATGCCACTCAAGTGATACAAGAGAATGGAAAACCCACAGCCACTAAAGATATTCCATACTTGAGATTAGACTCTGTTGTGAAGGTTCTCTTGGGCTTTGACTTCATAATTATATGATTATGGGTTAAAGTCTACAGAGAGTCTAATCTTTAGTCTAAAAGCAAAGCCATCTTCTGTTCGCAGCTAGTAATTTTTTTTTTTTTTTAAGTGCTTGATGCGTATGTTGGAGCCCTGGTGGCACAGTGGTTAGGAGCTCGGCTGCTAACCAGAAGATTGGCAGTTCGAATCCACCAACTACTCCTTGGAAACCCTATGGGGCAGTTCTCTGTCCTATAGGGTCACTCTGAGTCAGAATTGACTCAACAGCAATGGATTTGGTTTAGTTTGGGTTTGATGCATATATCAGTTAGGATCCTTTGAACCACAAGATAAAAACAAAAACATATTATATCATATAACAGACAGTGGGAAGTTCCAGGGTTTGCTAGTTCAGTGACGTAAAGACCCAGAGTCTTTCTTCTTTCCTCTCTGCCATCCTTGGCTTATCTGTTTGTACCCTAACCAAACAAAAAACTAACCCATTACCATTGTTTCCAACTCAGTACCCTAGTGATTGTAAAATGGCTGCAGCAACTCCGGGAATTCTGTCCTCATCCACCCTCTCAAGCCAAAATATTCATAGGTTGAAAGAGACAGCATTCCCTTTCCTGTGTCCCTTTAAAAGAAGGAGAAAAATTTTCTCAGAAACCCCCAACAGACTTTCTTTCATGCCTCACTGGCTAGATTTACATCAAATGCCTATTCCTAAGCCGGTTACTGGCAAAAAGAATGAAATTACTGTGGCTGTTTTAGACTTATCAAGTCTCATCCCTGGGTTAGGGAGCACCCTATTTCCCTAAAACAATCTTCTGATGATAACCTGAACAAAATCAGGGTTTCGTTAGCAAGTGAGAATGGAGTGGGAAGGGCAGCCAGCAGTGTCTGCCACAATGAGGAGGTTGCTTAGTTTCACTGTTTCTCCCTGTAGGCTCTGCTAATATAAACGACCGAAGCATGCTGGGAAAACGTGACAGTGAAATAGCTGTCATTGTACAGGACACGGAGACGGTTCCTTCAGTAATGGATGGAGAAGAGTACCAGGCTGGCCAGTTTGCCCAAGGACTTCGGCTACAGTGCTTTAGGTCAGCCCTACAAAGCTGTCTGTCTTACACAGTTGTACACAATAGACAGTGGACCCTAGCCCCAACCTCTTAACCTTAGCACACATTTCATTTCCAGTTCTTTTTTTTTTTGTCTGAAACAGCATTTCCCAGAATATAGTATGTGTATCATCCGTAGTATATGAAATGACTTTATATGGTTCACAAACATTTTTTGTTTTAATAATTTTTTTTTATTTTAATGTGTAATATTAAAAAAAAACTAGCATTTTAAATCTATTAATTGATTTTGGATCAGATCAGGTCAAACCATTTAGTGTCTATTTAAATTTTTTTTTAAGTGAGTTTGTTTTTTTAAAACTAAAATAGACCCAGTAATACAAGGATATGATAAAAATCATTAAAAGAGCATTCTGGTAGCCACTGGTGTAAAATTTATGTGTGGGAACTCTGGTTCTCAGGTTTAAGGGGACTCCAGGAGACATGGAAGATGCCTGATCTTCTGCAAAAAGACATGAGTTTTAAACAATCTGTGGTCAAGCATAAGAAACAATGGGTTAGGAAGCAAAGGGCCATCTGGCTGTAAATGAGTCCCTCATTCAATAAAGCTTTATTGAGAACTTTCTAGGGCTGGGCTCTAACCGCCTGCCCCTGCACTCACTGGCCCCTATAGTCTATTCTCCATAGCACTGATCCTTCTAGAACCTAACTCAGATCATGCATGTCACTCCTCTGCTTACCACACACGCTCCATGGCTTCTGACCTCACCTGCAGTAAATCCTGGTCATCAACATAATGTCATCTCCTCTCAATCTCCCCTCTCCCCTCGCTGCAGACACACCATCTAAGAAACAGCCTAGCCACTCTCTTGCCTTGTAGTAAGTCCACAATTGTATGATTCCAAAACATTATTTGCTATGCTGTGATTTCAGTGTGGCCTCTACAGTGAGAGGCAGCCAGTCTCTTAAATAGAGTTAAGGTGGTACTTTAAGCTATTTGGGGAAAGGCACTGCTCAAAAAAGCACAGCAGAGCTGTAATCCTTCATGTGTTAATGCCCAAGTTTGGAAATGGGCTGAGTTGCAGAGAGACACGTAATGGACACTTCAGTCCCTGCAAAAACAGGCGTCTATCTTCCTCATACCAAACAGTCCCGACTGGGGACTTTAGAGAACTAAGATAAGCTTCCTGTTCAGACAGAGTTCATTCTGCCCTCTGCTTACTCAAGGAGCTCTGCAAAGCCAGCCCTCAGTATCCACTGTCAATACCTTCTAACAACTTTTATTGCTGTGTCTACTGCTTCTGGTATGCATTGTTTTACCAGTAAGAATGTTTCCAAACCACCGATATTTCAATTAAATTCTAATGTTAATTTGTTTTGTTTAACAGGGGAGAGTTGAAAATTAGTGTCCTGCTAATCAATCCATTGATAGCCTACTGCAGCATATAGAAGGAAACAAGTATTTCCACTTGTAAACTGGAAATATGTGTCATATCTTTTCAGTTTTGTGAGAACTTATATATTCCCTTTAAAGTACTGAGATTCTTTATAACTTTTTAAATGTATAATAATTACAGAAGTAGATGGTTCCAGTTTCAAAATACTATATGGTAGAAAATTTGACAAATTCAAAAAAGCAATAAGAAAATTAAATTCATCTGTAATCCCACCACCCAGTTAACATTCAGTATGTATCATTCCACTTTTTTCTATACATATATAATATTAATATACTATTTTTTAAATTAGGGTCTGCAGTTCTACAGTGTTATTATTTAAATAATATGTTACACACATTTTCCCTTGTCATTAAGTATTCTTAATAGTTGCATTGTATTCCATCATATGGATACACCAGCATTCATTTAACTTATAACTCGTTGTTGGGCAGATTTTTTTGCTGATATTTTAAAAAAATGGGTAGACAGCATCTTGTTTGCCTCCTTAAACTAAACCCTTACTATGCAGTTTCTAGTCAAAGGAAATGTGCAACTTCCTTTGCCCTCTAATATTTTGTTTTATCACTAGCGATGTTTTCGAGGGCTTATTCCGCCCATCTTTACTAATAATCGAATTCCATTATTTTATTAATCTTCGCTAATTTGTTAGACTTTAAATGGCGTTTAATTATCTTAGTTTGCATAATTGAGGGTTTTTTTTAAAAATGGTTTGTTGGCAATGTGTAATTGTTCTTTTCTAAATTGCCTAGCCTATTCATATCCTTCACCTATCCTGTTGGAATACTTACCTTTTTTAATGATTTATAAGTACTTTCAATACATAAAATACTAATTCCTTTGTCATATTTGTTACAAATTTGGTTAATCAATTACCTTTAATCATATTTAGAGTATTTGGAGGAAGCTTTGAAATTCTTATTAATCAGATCTATCAGTTTTTTCTGTTTTTTCCTTCCTTTTTTTTTGTATGCATATAATAGCTCCCCCAGCCCCAAATCAAATATTTACTTATATTTTCTTCAAATGATTGCTTGATTTTACTTTTTACCTTTAACATCTGGAACTTATTTTAATATAAGAAGTGAGATAAGGGTGCTAACTTTTTCTTTCCCCAAATAACCAACTGATCCATACTCTGTAATGTATAACACTCTTTGCCTACCCAATTTGCAACGCTGCTTTATGATACACTGAATTCCCATATACATTAGGACTTCTAATCTCTCTGTTAGAGTCTGGTGAAAGTCTGTCACTTGCATACCAGTGTGATACTATTTTAATTATTGCAGCTGTACATGTTAATATTTGGGAGAGCTGCTTCTTGCCATACTGCTTCCTCAAATTAGTCTTCTTTTGCAGGATACTCTTAGCTATTCTTAACTGTTCATTTTTCTATATGAACTTCAGAATTGTTTGTTCTCTCAAATCCTTATTAGTTATTTTTATTTGTGATTACAGTTGATTTATAGATTAATATAAAAAGAATTGACATCTAATCTACAATATTGAGTTATCCTGTTGAAGAGCAAGGTGTGGTCTTCCATTTATTCAATTCTTTTTCATTGTTCAATAAAACATTAAAGTTTTTTTTGTTCTTTAGTACATCACTAGAGGTGGGTTTTTTTTTTTTTTTCCATTTTTTTTATATAAGTCCTATGTATTTCATGCTAAGTTTATTCCTTGGTGCTTTATTTTTCCTGGCAGTTTTCAAACTGTCTTAAAGAGGTAGCTGTTCTTGAACAATTACTTTCCTTTGCCCGATGGCAAACACAGATAATATATTAAAAAGCACCACAAAAACCTTGTGTCAGTTTTAGCCTCTTTTTATTAGGAAATGTTCCCAAACATAAATATTATGGCCTAGAGCACAGCCATTTTCTCACTAAAAAAAAAAAATGCATCTTCAGTCCATTTTCCATCTGGGCTATTTTTGAATAGAAATACAGAGACACATTTCGATGTGAAATCAATTCTGAATAGAGACAGAATCAACCATCAGGATACTGCGCTGAATGTCACAACTATGTGCCAAACAGTTCATTAAGTCCTGGAAAATTATCCCAACTTTATGTATGTAACCATCACGTAACAGAAATCATTATCCACATATAGAGCTCAGAATCATTTAAAGTGATAGACATGAGGAATGCAAAGAACAGAAACAATCTTTTTTTCACTTTCTGTGAAACAAACAATAAAGTGCGTTATGCACTTCAACATAAAATCAAACTGGTTTTTCCCAAATCACAGTTTCTCAAAGGAAAACCCAAAGCACTTCGTTTTGTTTTTGCTGTGCATTTCAATATAAATTTCTTATAATTAAAATACTGATGGGAGAAAATAATTTATTGCTAGTGTTTTATTTAAAAAACTTTTTCTACAAACAAGCCCTTAACTGATAACTTGGTGGACACATTGCCTCTCCTTTTGTTCTAATTTAAAGGCAAAGTCACAGAAGTACTCTTTTTGCTCAATTTTCAGCCGGTTAGACTGACTCAGATCAAAGTTATTATTATATTTGGCTTAGTGCTATAACTTCCGCTGTCCTTCAAACCCAGTGCAGTAAAATTTTGCTCTGGATCTTAGTGAGTAGCCAGCATCTGAGTACGTGCAACATCCCCGAGTCTCTCTCTTTTTTTTTAAAAAACATTTTTTTTTTATTGTACTTTAGATGAAGTTTTACAGAGCAAACTAGTTTCTCATTAAACAATAAACATTGTTTTGTCACATTGGTTGCCAACCCCATCACATGTCAACACTCTCCCCTTCTCAACCTTGGGTTCCCCCTTATCAGCTTTCCTGTCCCCTCCTGCCTTCTCGTCCTTGCCCCTGGGCTGGCATGCCCATTTAGGACTAAGGAACTTTTGACTTATTCTTTTTAAATTTATTTAATACGACTTTACTTTTTTTTTTCCCCAATGATAAAAGTCACACTTTTTTTTTTTTTTTTTAGTAGGCAGGAATTTCTTTTTTTTAATTGTACTTCAGGTGAAGGCTTACAGAAAAAATAGTTTCTCATGAAACAGTAGTACAAATATTGTTTTATGACATTGGTTAACAACCCCACAACATGTCGACCCTCTAACTTCTCAACCTTTTTTTTTTTTGGTGAAAATATACATAGCCAAAGATACACCATTTCAAAAATTTCTACATGCACAGTTCAGTGACATTGACTACGCTCTTCC